GCATGTAATATCCGTAGAGGCAGTGATACTTGGTGCTGTCCGATGCAAGGTCGCGCACAACTGCTTGCAGGAGAATGTGAGCGCCTGACGCGGCCATGTTGAGATTCAGAATTGATGGAAGTAGCAGTAGATGAGTGGCTGCGTCAAAGTTTGCCGACTTCTGTTCTGTTCGCAACAATTTTGCCAGTTGTCTACTTTTGGAGTAAAACCACAATACTCAATTAAGTTTTCAGTCCCTCTGGGTAATTAACTGTAACCACAAAAAATGATTGGTATATAAGGATTATTTAAAATTAAATAGCCCTATATATATATTAAACCAGAAAAATTGAACTTAAAAATTCAGTAATATCAGTATAAATACTGAATTTTTAAATTTAATTTTTTTGGTTTAATATATATATAGGGCTATTTTATTTTATATAACCCTCACGAGCGGTCGACTTGGACGATCGTGAGAAATATTTCCACTCATTGGACGTTCTTGAGAAATGCCAAATTCAAAAATGGAGTTCGAGAAAATTCAACGCAGGCGCGAAAAATAATAAGGCGTTTTCAAGTTGGAAGACTAACGATGCGAGATTTACATCACGACGGCAGCAAGGGCCACGACGAGCATGGCGAGCAACGTCCCTTGGATGGCGCCGGCAGCGTTGTCTTCGGCTTTCAAGACAGCAGGACACCCACCAGTCTCAACAGAGCAGTCGCGACCGTCGGCACCACCGCACGGAGGACACACGCTCCCCACGCACTTGGCGCACCTGCACGTGCAGACCTTGCCACCGTCATAGGGCTGACCACCGTTGTTGCACGTGACCCCGGCACAGTTGTTGGTCTTACCGCCGCACGTGAGTCCGATAAATCCTTCGAGGCAATTGCACTTGCCCGTGTCGACATTGCACTTGTTGCCATTCTCACACGCAGCATCCTTCGTGCACTTGGAACAGCGAAGGTCCTTGCCTTGGTACGGATCATAGCACTGGCACTTGCGGTCAATGCACGCGCCACCGACACCACAGTCCACGTCGCACGTGGGCCCAGTCGTCTTTTCACACTGACGACCAGTAAAGCCAGCGTAGCAACGGCACGAGTACCCCTGGGGCATCATAGGCTGCACGGGATCGTTCGACTGGCAGGTCCCGCGGTTGTTACAGAGCTCGCGGTCGCCCGATACGCAGCCCTTGGGTCGGCAGTACTCCTCCTTGGCCTTTTGGGATTCCTGCGATGCAGCCGATTGTTCATAACACATCGAGTAGTCGACGCAGCGGTACTGCGCTAGGATTGACCGGTTGCCATACTTGGTGTTGAACCAGCACTTGGGACTGTCCAGGGACAACGAAGGGTCGGTAGGACACTTCTGGGCTTTGATGGGCGTAATTTCGTCGGCACTGGTCGGTGCGGCCGTGGCATCAGGGTCCGTTACAGGCACAGGGTCGACCGGAGCTTCCGTGGGTTCGGCGGTCGCGCCCTTCACCGTGGTCGTGGGGGCAGCTGTTGTACCAGGCTTGCTCGTGGTTGCAGCAGTAGTGCCTGTTGTAGTGGGAGTGGCAGCTTGGAGGCGACGGGCTCCAGGAACAAGGGGCGGCTGGGGAGGTGCAGATGTGGTAGTGGGGGCCGCAGACTTCTTTGTCGTCGTTGGAGTCGTCACAGCTCCTCCCGAAGCAGTAGTCGCAGGTTTCGACGCTCCAGTAACTACAGGTGAAGTGTCGGCACCTTCGTCAGTGGGAGCAGGGGTCTTTTGGTTGATTGGGACTACAGCGTCCGTGTCGGTGGCAGGCTGCTGTGTTTGGTCAACCAAGACGCACTGTGTGTTCACATAACCTTGCGTCGGGTCCTGGTACTGAGGGCAAAGACCAGATTGACCCCCGCGGCACACAGGTTTCTGACCATAGTTGGGCGTGCACTTGCCGGCCACAAAGTCGCCTGACGAGAATTGCACGCAGACGGTGCCCGGATATGGTGTGCAATCCTCGTCTGTGTCACATTTGCCTGCGTCCTTGACGCGAGGAGGGGCTGTGGGCTTCGGGGTGGGCGCGGCGGAGGCCATAAAGATGGCTGCCGCCACCATGTACACGGCAAAGAATCCCTTCATGTGGCTGCTCGGTGGAATCGCAGAATGAGATGGCCGCCTCATCGCGTTTGGTGAAAGCAGCTGAAATATTCACGGCAACGTGAGAGTCAAGTCATTTCATCTCTCTTTATATTAATATTCAGGTTATGAGTTTTATATTGTATTTTTGTATGTTATGGCAAGACGAGAAGTCTGGATGGTATAAAAATATGCCCTCTGCTGCTCCGCCGTCCATGTCATTCGTACATTTCGATACGTACGATGTGCCATTCCTATTAAATTTCCCTTGCTTTTAGATGTACGAAATTGTACGATGTACGTTGTAATACGGATACAGATACAGATGATTTGTGCGCTCGACCGCAAAGCAGTAATGTGTTACGAATAGTGTGAAAGCCCGGATTGGTTCAAAAGTATGAATTCTCGCTATAACAACGAATCAAAGTGCTGAATTCGTATACTCTGTTTTGATTGGTTATAATCTTGATCGGTCACGGAAAGCCACCTCGTCTGACGTTAACACGCAAGAATCAATCGGCGACCTGGGTTGGCGACATGGGGGATATCGAGTGCGACCTGAGATGCGATCGTCCTCGATACAGCAGCTTGACAGCTTTACAGGTCCCTTGTGCGAAGGCAGTCACCATTAGTACATGTGTCCTCGTATGTGTTGTGCGAAGGCGATGGTGATCTGCATTCGAACGTACCATCTCGGTCTCGATACGCCGAAAATGCGATTGACAGGGTTGGCTGCCGCAACGCTCAGCTAAGCTTGGCTGGACATGGCAAACATTTCGTGACGCTCCGACAACTTTCTTCTTCCTCATTCAACCAACCCCTCTGCCGGCTGTATGGCTTGTATGTTCGTCGTCAAAGCATTGTCTATACGACTGCACCATCTCCGTGAACTCATTAATCTGTTGCTGGTCATACATGACCATGTTCAGGTAGGCATTTCAGAGTACCGATGCACATGCATGCCATGGGTAGCCACACACCACCGATGTCCTTGCAGCAATCGCATCAAACACGGTTGATACAATTTAACCAAGTGCAACATCCATGGTCATCATGACGATAAAGCCGACGATCGTGCCAATGGTCGCGAGTTTGGAGTTGCCGCTCTGGTGGGCTTCTGGAATGAGGTCGTCGACCACGACAAAAATCATTGCGCCGGCGGCAAACGACAACGCGTACGGCAAAATGGGCTGGACGTACAACACAGCTGCGGCTCCGATGAGCTAGACTCATCCCGTCAACGACGAGAGTTGGGGCACGAACGTACCCCGCCGATGGGTTCGACGACGCCACTGAACTGCCCCCACATGAACGCTTTGAACGGAGGCATGCCTTCGCGGCGCAACGGCATGGACACAGCCAAACCTTCTGGAAAGTTTTGAAGACCTGTCGAATGAAAAGCCATGAGGTCGATGGAATGAGATTCAATGCAGTCTACCGATGCCGATGGCGAGGTTCACGGCGTTCGAAAACGTTGCACCAGGAGCGTGGCCAATGCTCCCAAACCCCACACCCACCGCCATCCCTTCGGGGAAGTTGTGCACTGTGATGGCGATCACTAACAGGATCACGCGGCGATAGCTCATGTCCTTGGCCGACACGAAGCTCATTATGGCATCGTCGTGGCCAGTAGATTCGACGTCGTCTAATATGTGCAAAGAAAATCCATTGATGCGATGGTTGGATACAGCGACGTACCTGGAAGGACTCCGTGGTCGCTAGGCTTGCGGCGGCGAACGTTGCTGCCGCCGTCGCTACCTCCTTTTTTGTTCACGTTGTGGTATGAAAAATCATCATCTTTTTTCTCCCAGTTCTCGGGTTTTGATCCAAGACCGAGGAATGGAAGCAATCGCTCCGTGAACAGCATGCAGAATGCACCGAGACCGAACCCAATCGCTGCAGGAAAAAAGGCCCATCGGCCTTCGGGGCCATACAGAGGCGACTCCTCTGCGATTTCGATAGCCGGAGCCAAGAGCGACCAGTACGACGCTGCCAGCATCACCCCCGCCGCAAAGCCCTGCACACCGTTATATGGAGGAAACGGACGAGTTTCATGCGTACCAGCATCGTATCGAGGATTTTCTGCGACAACGCACGGTTCTCGACGTCCAGGACAAACACCAACGCTGACCCCTAAGAATTGCCTAGGAAGCAAGGCAAAGCAGATAAGCATGCCGTACCAACGCTGTCAATCCCCATGTGACGAATGTGCCGAGAATCGCTTGGAAGACGGGGTGGATTCCTTCGATCATGGTGCGGCAGGCGACCTGTGTCGTCGTCGAATTCACTGCCGACTCCTCTCACGCTCTCATGGCGGACCTAGGCAACTCACTCTTTTCAATGCGAGTACAAGGCGAGAGTCACTTTAATGTATCTAATATTTAGCACTTTAATAGCGAGATTTTGTGATTTTAATGCAAACTGGGAACATCTCCAGATATGATCACAGTGTTACTAGTATGTGGTATGGACCCTTCAATTTTTTTAACTGAATCGTCGGTAACGTGATAATATGTACTCCGGAGTACTCTCATTACTTTGTACAATAATGTTTATGATATCCTATTTGAGCAATTGTCATAATATATTTCGAAGATATTTCTCGATGCACATAATTTTCCTAGATAAACTCTGTGGTGGCGGATACTTGGCATCTTCTGTTATAAGTAATAGTTTACGTTGTAATATTTTTTGTTGGAACAGACATACAATTTTATATCATATTTGAGAGAGCATAACTTGGACGTCCCGCCAATCCCCGTGCGATATTTGAAATTGGATTTTCTCGGCGCCATCATGATGCTTGGTGGAGGCGCGCGGTCAGTGCTTGTGCGGCACTTCCATCGATCCGTGGGAATTGTCGGTATGCCAAATGTGGGCAAGTCCACTCTCTTCAATGCCCTCACGCGCACGGAGCAAGCTCAAGCAGCGAATTATCCGTTCTGCACGATTGACCCGAACGTCGCCCGCGTCGGTGTGCCGGACCCGCGTGTCCACGCTCTAGGCAAGATGGAATCGTCGCAGAAAGTGATTGAAACTCAACTTGAGTTTGTCGACATTGCTGGACTCGTTCGCGGCGCATCCAAGGGCGAAGGTCTCGGAAACAAGTTCCTAGACAACATTCGGCAGGTGGCCGTGATTGCCCATGTCGTGCGGTGCTTTGAAGACATAAACATCCTGCACGTCGAAGAGACGGTGGATCCACTGCGCGACTTGGACACGATCCAGACGGAGCTTCTACTTGCCGACTTGCAAACGGTCGAGAAGCGATTGCAAACGATGGGCAAGAAAAAGTAGGCATGTCCATGGTCATCCACGTTCGCGACAACTTTCTGTCTTCTGTAGATCGACGGACCCAGCCGCTGTCCACCTCGTTGCTGTACTCAAGCGCGTGCTTCCTCTCCTTGAAGACGGGATCGCGCTCACGGACGTCCAGTTTGAACACCCAGAGGAGCGTGTTCAGTTTGACCGGCTTCAGCTGCTCACTCCCAAGAAGGCGCTCTATCTGTGCAATGTCGGGGAGGACGACGCTGCCACCGGCAATGCCATGACGGAGGCCGTGCGGAAGCATGTTCGTGATGCGCGTTTCTACCCCTGATCTTGACAAGATGGGTTGTAGGTCGAAGCGCAAGGAAGTCTGTGCTTGACAGTGTCGGGGGCGTTGGAAGAAGCCGCGTCCCAGTTTGATGATGAAGCCGGGCAGCTCGAGTACCTGGCATGCAGTGGCCTGCAAGAGACTGGGTTGTCGCAGGTCATTCGCGCGTGCCATGAGCTGCTGCAGCTGCAGTCGTACTACACCGTCGGCCCACAAGAAGCGCGAGCATGGACAATTCCAAAGGGGACGCTGGCGCCAGCCGCCGCGGGGGTGATTCATTCAGACTTTGAGCGACTGTTTATCCGAGCCGAGACAATCGGGTTTGACAAGCTCATGGAGGCCGGCAGCATCAAGCAAGCGCGGGACCTTGGCCTCGTCCGCACCGAGGGCAAGGACTACGTGTGCCAAGACGGCGATGTGTTTCACTTTTTAGTCGGCCGTTGAAGAAACAGGTCAGCGACGACACAAGCGGGTCTGCTGCATGGAGTTGACGAGTGCGGCGACGTGCGTGCCACCATTGCGTGCGCACCTACCATGGGCACCGAATTTACACCATCGTTCAGATTTGTAAAAGCGGCTTGGCTAGTCGTGGTTTATCGGGACATGGCAGAACGCGGTGGGTGAACCGTGCAACACATTTCATGGCTTGGATTGTGCCCTAGTGCATTCAAAAAATCCAGTCTGTCGCGCGCACACGCCCGCGCGGCGGTTTACAGAGCGGAGTAAGTCGATCGGCGGGCGGCAGTGGACATGGCTTGCATGGCGACAAAGGCCGCGATACCTGCGCCGACGCCAACCACGACAGTCCACAACGTTGATGCGTCGGGATGCGATACGTCCGCTGCACGCAACGCGACGAGCGCCGTCAGGTTGTCAGTATCGTCGACTTCGCCCGTGAGGTACTCTAGGTTGTCGCGCGGATACGTGAAATTGGCGCAGGCGGCGTTGCCGTAGATGAAGCATTCAAACATGTAGAGCGCGTGCAGCGGGCGAATCGCAGGCACCTACGCCATGCTCCATCACGATGGCGCGTCGTCGATCTTCGTACCATGTGCCCGGCCCCCTTGACGGTCTTGAACGTGAGGCCAGGGTACTCTTGTGTATACCCGGCCAGTTGGTTGTCCGGGCCAAACCACGACTTCCATTTTTCCTTGATCGGTAAGTGCAGCCCCGCGGGGCTTGCAATCCACCGCTCGGTCCCGATGAAATTCACGACGGCGTCGGCATCGCCGCTGTATATCAAGGCCGACAAATCTATCGCGCGCACCTCGTCGTCACACGGACTCGATCAACGCAACGTACTGTGCTTGAGGATCGTCCGGTACTTGGGCAACGCCGTGAGCGCGCGATGGTATCGCTCGGCGATGTCCATATTGCAGTCGGCCCATGCAGACACAGCCGACCCCGGCATCGTGACGTGAATCGCTTCCTACGCATGAACGAGACGGCGCGTGGGGTTGGTTTTTCTCGCGGCGCGGTCGCACCTGCACCACGGCCAGATTCAAGTAGTTTTCCGTGTATTTGTCTGTGCACGGCTCGATCTTGCCTCGGTGCATGGGCTGGTACGCCATGCTCTTTCGGAAGTGCAGCATCCCGGCTTGGTTGTTCGAGAGCAGGCACACGTCGCCGTAAATGTAGTACGGGTTCAAGTAGGCCGTGTCAGATGCAACAACGCCTTCTTCGATCGCAGCCTGGCACGGCGCCGAGCAGTTGACCGGCGTATACATGCACTTGCCGATTTCAGCTTCGCAATGGTCGACCATGTCGTTGTAATTCTCCATCGAGATGAGTGCGTGGGCATAGTAGTAGTCCATGTACGCGTTTCCGTCAATGTCGGCATCCGTGAACGGATTCCCAATCGCATACCCCTGGAGGTTGATGGTGGGGAAGCGGCGGGTCGCCGCGCCAGCATGAGCCACGTGGCCGCGGTGGCGCTGTTGGGTCGACGCCTTGGCTGTCACAAGAGTGTGCACGAGATACGGAATGTAAATCCCGGCGTAGCTCTCGCCCGTGATGTACAGCGGGCGATTCTGCAACGACGGGTACGTGATGAGAAATTGCTCGAGAAACTCTGCAATGCGGTCCGTCGTAAAGTCGTCGTTGTACTCGGTCAAGTTGAGGTGCGGGCGACTAAACCCGACGCCCGCCGGGGACTCGAGAAAGACAACGTTCGCCTTGCGATTCCACGTGTACGGGTTTAGCTTGACCGTGAGGTCGCTCTCGACAACGAACGGCCCAAGCTCAGTGAAGAAGCCTCCGAGGGACGAGCAGCCGGGGCCGCCGTTGAGCCACAACACGAGCGGGTCCGAGTCGGGGTCTTCCTTCGATTCGACGTACCAGTAAAACATCTCTTGGCCATTGCTGGGCAGCGGCATGCGGCCAGCATACATGGCAAACGAAATGGGGGTCGGGTCGCGATAGTTGGGCAAGTCCGCGATGAAATGCTCCTTGGCCAGTGTCGTCATCGAAGCGGAGCGGGTTGGACGAGCCACCGTCGTCGAGGCAGTACCACCAGCGCAGACAGAAGACGCTGCCAGGAGGGCCAAGACGCCACGGAGCATGCTGACGGCCACAAAATTCCCAATGCGTTCAGGACGACGAGATCGCCTTTTTGCAATCTTGGGTGGCTGAGGGCGAAGTTGAAGTTTGGCCGAGCCACAACTGACTTGGTTTTAGTATGTTGGCTCTCCATGTTGAAGTGGCCACATATGACATGCTAAGCAAGTGGCATCGCGACATCGAGCCGTCATGGACGAGTCGTGGCTAGTCACACCATTGGGCTGGTGTATTGCATGAAGAGCAGATCCGGTGGTTATTCATGTCGTGGTAGATTATTTGCTTGTCATAGCCATGTTTGTAAAGAGAGTTCGGAGGGCTCGTGGCGATGATCTCTTTCCTTGAGGTAACATGTCCGAACACCACGCCACTTCATCGTCCGAGTCGGACGACAAACTGTCGTCTGTGTCATCGGGGTATCGTCGAGGCACGACCTTTCTTGGCGTGATGGTCGCCGCCTGTACCATACCTCCATGGCAAGGCAACGGGATGTCGATTTTGTCGTCGGTGGCTGGAAATGCTGGCACAACGAGCCCCACTTGTTCGCAGAGCCGCGCCAAATCAAAGAAGGTCAGCGCGATCGCATCGGCAAAGTCGGGTCGGATGGCATCTAACGCCTCTGGCTCAGTGCACGACGCTGCCAACGACCCGAGCAGCGACTCGATTTGTTCGAGCCAAGCGTCTAGTGCCAACATGAAATGACGGAATGAACGACCGGAGGTGCACACCATAATCGTCGTCGTTGGGTTCACCTGGACTGCCAGCCGCTGTCGGCATCACGGAGGTCCACGTTGCGGTGACGTCGGCGAATTCCGCATGCAGGTCATGGAAGGACGATTCAATTACCAAGGAGGAACAGGCAGCTGCGCATTTGCGTTCTAGTCGAGCTAGCGTCGAGCCGAGGTCGTCCAAGGCCGCCGCCGTGTCGTCATCGGCATTGAGCATGTCAGGCAGTCTAGTGCTGTGCACAGCTATGTTTAGAAAATTGCTGTGCTATACGCAGGCCAATACCGAACGATTGCCATGCAAATGTCGCCACGGACGGGTTCAAGTCCACTGGAGCTATCGCTGCTTGTTGAGTTGGTTTTGTCTGCAACGGAGGCTGTCATGACGATGCGCTCCCCCTCCCCCAATCCATGGGCCGTAGGAAGGAGTACAATCCCTTGTAGAACTGCACACCTGAGAGGGACATGGCAGCAATTCAATTGTACAAAGTTCCCGAGAAGCTTCCAAGCCATCCGTTTTAAGACGCCTTGTTGCTACCCCCTATGGAAGACTCGCGCACCAGTAGCCACTGGCGTCGCCGTTCCAAAGCCATCGTCCATTGGAGACGATGCCATACACAGCATGAAGTCTATATAAGTTAAGTGGCGCTTGCATCTACGACAGGGACGGCGAGTTGTCAAATTCGTCACAAAGGCCATGGAGCATGCGGTTGGACAGCTTGATGCGCAATGCGCACGGGATGAGCACTGTGGGCTCCAACACGTGCTAGACAGATCGCAACGTTGACGCTCGTCATGTCGACTGGCAAGTCGTACCAAGTGTGTGGCAAAGGTGTTGAGGAATCGGCTCGCGATGTCGATCGGTTGGTCAACGAGGTGCGTCTCGCAAAGGGACAGCATGGCGAGCGCGGAGCGGAACAAGATCTTCCACGACTTTTCAAACAAAAAGATGTCCCAAATCGCGTCGGTCGTGGGTTTCGGCAGCGCATTCAAGTACAAAAACAAAGTTTGGAACCACCCGACAAGGTACATCTCGGTCGAAATGCACTCACGGTCAAAGTGGGCATGCAATCTCGGCAAGCCTTGCTCGAGCACGCGGTTAAACTGGAAACAGCGCAAATGGAGCTGTTGCAGGCCAGGACTAGTACCAACAAGCACCGTGAGATCGCCCCAACATGCTGCACTCAATCTTGTACCTAAACATGGCTTCGAGTCCGTAGTTGTCGAACAGCGCCACGAGCAGCCAAAACGAAGCAGCTTCCTCGAGCGCTAGGATCTGCGCCTTGGACAACGCCCCGCGGCCTTTCTACGTCCAGAGGAATCAATGAGAAGACGGTCTCTATAAACAACACGGCCGAAGCAAAAGCCTTCGCGCGTGGAGCTGGCGTACCGCGGTTTGAGCGTAATACGCAATGACGTGTTCGAGGACGTGCGCTGCGATGTAGTCCATGCCTTGGCAGTACCCCACGGTGGGATATCGGCTCGCCAACGCGTGCAGGACCCCCATGAGCTGGCCTTGAATGTCCACATCGGTATGGCAGTGCTCGAACGACGAAGAACCACCCTGGCCACCGCTATGAACCATCCAAGTGAGTTGAGCCCTGCTGCGTTCCGTCGACCCGCGACGTGTCTAGTTGCTGCGACGTAGCAGTTGTAGGTCGTGTATTACCTAGTACAAGATTGCACGATAGCCACACGTCCATACGTTCGCTGCACATCGATCCGAATTGCTTCTGTCCACTCATTTTTTAGCTTGGCGTCGTCGTGGTACGTCGAATACTCGTCGTTCGAGGCCGCTTGGAGTTGAATCGCCCTGCAGATCCATTCAACCGTCAGGACCCAACCACGGCGAACACAGCACCCACAAAAACGAATCGAGTATGTCTGGCCATTCACATGAGGCAGTGTTAGCAGAGGGTTGGTCACTTGCCCGGAACAGTGCTGCCAAAATGGCACACGCAGCGCAGGCGAGATCCCATTCACGCGGACGCAGTACCGCAGGAGCCGTGGCTCAGCCAGCAAATGATGGCGCATGCCATGATTTACGCCCGAAAGGCGCGAATACGTGGCCACACTAGCCGCCACAAGTGAGGTGTACCAACGATTTTTGCCATGAATCGCAATTCAACCGCTGCATGTGGCTCACTTACCAGCCAGTAAAGGCAACGATGGTGTATAGAACTTGCGGGATGTCCATGCACAACGTTGCCACAGACAACGAAGCTAAAAGACACGGCCAAGTGAACGACAGCGTCGTGGAAGCGACGGAACCTCGGGGGGTGTCGCCAGCGTGTGTGCTGCCGTAAAAGCCCACGAGGCCGCGAGATGCTACAATGCACAGAGAACACGTCAACACGACTAAACATGACGTTTCAAGAGTCGTCGGCGTAAGTGGCGCGCCACTGCATTCGACTTGGACGCACCTGCGATGAACGATGTCGGGCTTGACGTGCAGTCCATGACGAGCCGGGTGGGCTCGTCGCCTTTTTTGGACACGAACAAATTCCCCTGGACGAAGCGAATTCCTAGAGTTTCGACATGATGCTGCATCTGCGCTGACGTTTGGGACATTCGTCGCGTGAGTCCACTAACGCCACCACGTGCTTTGGACAGGGCTGGTTGCAGCTGCTCGCTGCTCGTGCGGATACGGTCACGGCTCACGCTTGCAGTCGCCGACAGCTTTGTCTTGAGCTCCTGAAGCTGTGGCGCGAATTGCGTCTTCATTGTGTTCTTGAGCTGGTCCAACCTGGTTTGCATCCACTGTGTAGGCATCGACGAGGTTGCACGAGGGCGCGTCGGGAATTTATTTGACACTGATGGCGAGGCTGATGCTGAGGTGTCTTCAGCGGCTGATGTTGTTGGGTGGGCTGCAAGTGCTTGATCCGCGGCCATAACTTGTGCTGCATCACTCTCGATGGCCAACATGTACGTTTGCGTAACACGTTGCCCGTAATTGTGAGAGCGTCGATTGATATAGTGTGAATTTTGGAAATAATGTGAGCATTTTTCATGATATTTTAAAGATATCCGAAAGTCGCATGCGATTTGTGAAAATATTTTGACATTATGCAATGTTTTGACAATTTCACCAACCCACCGGGAAAAACGGCGGTGGAATCGGGGGAAAATGAGCGAAATTTGGAGTAGGCGACTTGATTGGTTAAAATATTTGATTTTATAGCCATTTGATTAGTAGAAAATAAAATATCCACCTCGATTGGTGGAAGCCCCAAAATCCAACAAGCGGTAGGGAGACAAGAACACCGAGACCACGACGACAAGATGAACAAGGTTCAGAAGCCCATGACACAGCCGATCAACTTGATCTTCCGCTTCCTCCAGAACGTAAGTATCATCGGTGGCTTGGGGCATCGACGTGGTTGACCCTGCTGTGTGTGTTGCAGAAATCGCGTGTGCAAATCTGGTTGTACGAGCAGGTGAGCACGCGCATCGAAGGCCGCATCATGGGGTTCGATGAATACATGAACTTGGTCTTGGACGACGCAGAAGAATTGGACGTTAAGAACCTCAAGCGAATCCCGCTCGGCCGCATCCTCCTCAAAGGCGACACGATTACACTCATGATGGCGGCAGACGGCGGCAACAACTAGACGGACCATTCACCAGGCGCGTCGACGATGCACGCATGTCGATGCGGCCGCCAAACGTTAGCTAGCATGGTGTGTGCAATGTATTATGTATTCCCGTCTCGGTCGCCAAGGATGCCAAACCTGTCGACCTTTGTCAATGCAGCTACGAATTCGTTGCAATCTCGACGTTGCACACCATCAAGAGCGTCGAGTAGGCGACTGTCGGCGCTCGAGTTTTCGTCCTGCCCTGTCACTGTGATAGTGGCCAAAGCGTCGGGACGTTGTCGGCAGCATTCGTCGTTGTCGAAGTCTTCGCAATGGGCGTCACAGCCATGTGGACTCTTGACCGCGCATGCGCAGCAGCAGCAGTTGGAGAATTGGAAGCGAAAGTGGCGTGGTCCGGCATGTCAATCTCATCACGAATCCACCGTGGAGCGAACGAATTCATACCAGACTGCCGACTGCCTCGACGGCAATCCCGAAGTCGCTGTGCAGGTATTTCATACAACATGCGGATAAAAAGTCGAGACGACGTGCGATCCGTGCAGGTATTTTTCGTGGGTTTGAATGCGATGGCATCCGAGCCCACTCCACAGGAAGCAGCCTCGTTCGATGGTCACGAAATCACCCAACGACCAGCGACCTGTCCAATCTATCTCGCCTACAAACACTAGCGAGGTGTTAATGGAACAACTTGATGTGTACGAATGCACTTGAGGAGTGAGACCATGGCAGGAAGACCATCCGGCATGGTAGGTGGAGCACAGGTATCCATCGCCATTTCGTACATGACGCAGTTGCTCACCGCTGCGAGGGCGAACTGAAAGTTCGAAGGTACGAGGTGTCGCCTCCGACAATCCCCCAGTATACTTGGCTAGGAGTCTGGTCATCCAGCAGAACAGACACACCTCCCCACGTGTACGACGCATGAAGGGCCTACCCTCTAACGCACACACTGTCCCTCGTGACATTCGCGCAAGCGAATGACACATTTGTGGCTGCGGGAATTCCAGGCTACGGGGGGCTAGACACCCAATACTCAACATTCACGTCTAGTCCCCGATGTGACCTATATCGATTGGACAAAGTCTGCACTGCCACGAGTGAATCCAACGGGTGTCGACGTCGAACGAGCTAGTCCCGGATCCTCTCTGTGAACCCTCTCGAGGCTCGGCTGGTCGTGACCATCGCTGGATCCACACAATTGCACCACACCTGGTGGTCATTGCCGTTTGAAGAACGGATCTCATGGCTGCCAGACGACCGCACGTCCTCTTGATACAATAGCTACATGCACACTTCATTTACAAGACAGTACTGACTCTCATGATGGAAGCCACGTAAAGCTCAGTCCTTCTAGGCCCTGACGTCAGGGCACTTGCCCGTGGTGGCGTCCAGCTTGCCGTTGCCGCCCGCAATGCGGTAGCATTTGGTCGACGGGAATATTGACATGATGCTCGAAGTGACCGAGAACGCCAGGCATGATACGAAGAGCACGATGAGGAGGATGCCGGCGAACGTGCTCTTGCCGCCCTTCTTCTTGAGTTCTTGCATGGGACCACGCTGGGGAGGCAGCATCCACAGCCATGCCAACGCAAATAGCTTGCTCCCGTACGAGATAATGAACGAGTACGTGACGTCCCATCGGACTTCAGTGCGGGGGTACCCAAAGATCGGGAAGCAGTCCGAGAACATCCCCATAAACACTTTGAACGACCACCCGAGCGTCACCAACGTCGAGTACGACGCGGTCTGGAACCCCTCCAGTTGCAGGTACACGTTGAAGATGGGGTAGTTGAG